TATATATGTGTATGTATATATATATATATATATATATATATATATATATATATGTGTATATATATATATATAAATTATTGTGAAGGTTATTTGTCCCAGTCTTCTTTACATTGTTGCTTCAGCTTTTTAAGGCCTGGAATGGAATCAGATTTTTAAAACGTCTCAATTCTTAAAAAGAAAATGCTTATTTCAGGCAACCCTTCAAACAAACCAGATTTGTTTATTCTTTTTCCAACCAAACTGTTGTGAATGCTAAACAAACCAGACTGAAACTTGTAAAAGACATGAACATCTTGAGGTTCTGTCACTTCCCTGAGCACTGCACAGTCTGACCTCGGGGTGAATATGCTAGGATGTCCACACCTGTGAAGGATGACAGCCGTCTGGATGGTTTTACACTTGGGAATAATCTTTCTCAGCATGAAATGATGAACTCCAAATTGTTTTAAAAAAGCCTTTTAACCTTTTCCACAGCAACAGTTGTTTTCTAAAATCACTGCTGATGTCTTTCTTCCAGGTATTGTGTTAACACACCTCTGAACACTGCAGAGCAGCTAAATAAAAACTTCAGCTGATTGTTTACACTTGCTGATGAGAAATTACTAAAATGTACTTTATGAGTACAGTACAACTACTGCTTACCTTCAAAACATCTACACAGTATTATGTAATTTTTTTTACTATCTGCTTTGGCATTTTGGCTTCATTTCTAGTAAAATAACTAATGACGCAGTGTGATATGTAGACCAAACTTGGAAGGAAGTCTAGGTGAACGGCCTTGAACCAAAAGCATTTATGATTTACTGGAGTGGCCAAAACTGACATAAAACAGTGATAGTGGTTCATTTGTTAATGTCTGAAATCTAAATTAATAAAATGTACCTAAACACAAAAACTGAACCGTTCATAGTAGCTCAATAAAAGTTATTTTAAGGAAATATTTGGAAGAAATCATTTCTGACTGCGAGGAGAAAACTAGTTTGACAGACATTTCTTTTGGATTTAAAATGACGTGTTCAAAGCAGGTTTATAAAAAGTTAGGAGGTAAAAGCAGAAGGACAAAGCTTCTTTAAAAAATAACACAATATTTACCTGTATAATATGTTATATGTAATTAGAAGGCTTTAGTTAAAGAGAGAGAACTGTTGCCACTCAGCAAGAAGGTTGCAGGTTCGCCTCCCGGCCTGGGCCTTTCTGTGTGGTTTTGACATGTTCTCCCCGTGCATGCGTGGGTTTTCTGCAGGTACTCCAGCTTCTTACCACAGACCAAAACATGCATGTTAGGTCATTTGCAACTCTAAATCGCATAATAGTGCAATCCTTTTGCCACTTCTATGTTTTTCTGTACCTTCTTCTTTCTCGTTCCACAATTTTTGTGCCATTTCAACAAATCATAGATCAAAACATTCAGCTCTTTCAGGACAATCCTGCTACGACTTTTGGTATTGGTGCAACTTTATCTTTTTGAAATATTTAGCCTTTCTACCATTTTTTTTCCTCATAGAAAATGAATTGAGCTCTTTTTACATCCTTCAAATCTTTAGATCTGTTTACAATCTTTTACTGTTCCTTTCACATTTTGTTTTGGTTCAACTTGTGCAAATTAAAAAAAAAATTTCAGCTACTTTCAGCTAAGTTCAGCTGGGTTTTTTCCCCCAGCTGTTCTGTGCTCCTTTCAGCTTGTTTCTGCTAACTACAGTATTTTTGTTCTTCTTCTTCCAACTTTTTTCAGCTAATTTCAGCTTGTTATGCTTCTTTCAGCTTCTTTCTGCAAGTTTCAACTTTTTCTGCTATTTCAGCAACTATTTAGCCATTTGTATGCTAATTTTAGCTTTTCCAGCTAATTCCACACTCATTGCACTCATTTAAACTTTGTCCAGTCTACCGGTAATTCAGCAAAAATGTGCTCTCTCCACTTCCTTCTTGTAATTTCAGCTTCTTTCTGCTTTTATAGCTAGTTTTAAGCTTTTTTTTTTTTTTGCCAATTTCAGCTTCTTTCAGATTATTTCCACTTTTTTGTGCTAATTTCTGCTTCTTTCAACATATCGGTAAGTGGACAAACGTCTTCTTTCTGCTTTCTTCTTCTAAATTAAGGGTGTTCTACATTTTCAGCTACATTTTGTAGCAATTCTGTAGCTAATTTCAGCAGTTTTCATATAAATTCAAGTTTTTCATGATAATTTCTGCTACCTTCAGCCTAATTAACTTTTTTCTTCCTTTCTTTTGGCTGCTCTCTTCATCAGGGGTCACCACAGTGAACTAACTCGCACAAAGACTTAACAATTATTTTTACGCCGGATGCCCTTCCTGAAGCAACCACAGAGCTACCACAGCCCTCTGTGTGGAGCAGAGAGCTGCCATTTAGGGTGCTCAGGGGAGCAGATGGTGGGGGTTAAGAGCCTTGCTCAAGTGCCCAGAGTGGGACAAATGAGGGTGGAGACAGGTGTGGGTGCTTCACCAATCCCACCCACATATTGATGTTGTTGGTACCGGGAGTTGAACCAGCAGTCTTCCGATCACAGGCCCACCTTCTCTAACCTTGGCGCCACCACTTCTTCTTTTAGCCTAATTAACTTCTTCATGTTAACTTCGGCTTGTTATGCTCCTTTCAGCTAAGTTATGCTAGTTTCAGCTTTTTCTGCTATTTCAGCTAACATTTAGCCATTTTGTGCCAATTTTATCTTTTTCAGCTAATTCCTTTTTCTTTTACCCCATTTCAGTTCTTTCCACTTCCTTCTGGTAGCTTAAGCTTCTTTATGCCTTTTCAGCTACTTTTCAGCCCTTTTTTGCTAATTTCAGCCTTTTATTTTTTAGCTAATTTCTAATTTTTGTGCTCATTTCTGCTTATTTAAACCAAATTCAACAAATGTGTTATTTCTGCTTTCTTTTGCTAACTTGGGTTTGTTCTTCCATTTCAGCTATATTTCAGCATGTATTTAGCTAATTTCAGCTGTTTTTCAGCAAGTTCTTCTGCAATAAGCTTTTAAACTGCTTTTTCGCAGGAAATGCCGTTTCTCTAGTTTTGTTTTAGTTGTTGATTCATCTGTCCCTTTTCGACACGAAGCATGCATCCAACTTTTCCCCACAAAATATTGTGTGAACGGTCAGAAGTTTGTGGGTGTGTTTATGCAGAAAAGCTCTGCAGCAATGTACGGTAGTCACTTTGCGTCAACAACTCCACTTCCAAAAGCTGGTTATTGTGCGTGCAAGCAACGTGGACAGCTTTGACGAGCAGTACTCCAATAAGGCAGTCAGATAATACATCCATCTGTACGACTCTTCGAGATGAAACCATAGTCAAATGGAACAAAACACCTGGATGAAGAATGCACAGATGTTGTGCATGGATGAGTCCATCTGCCAAAACGTGTGGCGCTCTCTTCATGGCAGATTTGTGGACAAACGGCAGAAGCAGAGATGGAGTGGATATCCTGGCGGAAAGAAACCCATGCCATGACGTACACAGAAGGGGTTTCCCAGGAGCTCTGCGCTCGTGTCTCGTGGGCAATGAAAGGTGTGTGCGAAAACAAAGCCTCACAACCACGTGACTGCAAGCCAACTGCTCGGCTTCGGATGTAGTATGAAAAGACCTCTACAGTTACCAATTAACTAACATGCTTGCTTTTGTTTGTGGAAGAACACTAGAGTACCTGGTGAAAACCCACCCATGAACGGGGGAGAACAGACTATAATATTTCTCTGTACCTGAAGCCTACAAGCCAGTATTTTATTTTAATGTCATGACATCTATAGAATTTCGTTCCTGCAGTTGGTCATAATTTCCCATAAACTCACTCCCAAAAGTGCAGTTTTCTTCTATAAGAAGGTCCCTCATTCTGTGCTTTTACCTTGACGCCACTGCCAATCACATCCCTACTTAAAATAGGTCTCAGTGATAAGTTGAGACTGAAATACCAATATTAAGAAATAATGTGGACAAAATATGCTTCCAGCACCATCTTCCAGAATGAAACTTGTGAATGATGCAACAGCATTTCGTTGTGGTTCAGCCAAGAGATTACACTAAATGCTGCACATTGGATTGAACCTCAGGAATAATTTCTGCACATAAACCTTAAACTGATATCAAAATATTTTGGGATTTTATTAGTTTGCCCATAAATTAGTAAGTCAACATGTTTATGTATCTTACCCCGTTATTAAAGTATGTGTCTAAAACATTCAGTCCACAGTCCCGCCTCTTTTCATCCGGGGCTAGCTGGTACATGGCCTGTCAGAGGAAAAATAAAAATATGAGCAGCCACTCTAGGTCAAGCTCATGCATCCATCTTCAATATATTATTCCAAAAAAGGAGAGAAACACGGGCAGAAGGGCAGACATACATAAAGAAGAGGATGGCATGTTTAAAAGGGACAAAGGGGAAATAAAAATATAAATGAGTGTGAGACGTTAGGAGGGACGAACATCTCATCTTGGTCAAAGTTGCAAACTTAAAGCCATAGTTATCTTCACACCTCCATCCTTACAACACAAAACCGGACGACGCCTCGTGTTCATCACAGATTGTGTTTTTGGTTGAATATGACCGTACGTGGGGGGGAGCTGGTCTGAAGTTTGACCGCCTCAAGTCATCCGTTTGGTTTGAAAACAAGCTCTGCAGAGAAAAACAGGACTGGGCTGTGCAGCTATGCATCACAGCAGAAACATGATGTCCTGGAAAGGGGGGGAGACTAGAAGCCCATATTCAGCATGAAAGATTTGCTTAACTTTTATGGATTTTCTCCGCCAGTGTGAGCATATGCAGCTTCTGGTGCTTGCATGTAAGTGCCTGTCTGTCTACCTTGAATCACAGTAATGTACGTCCTCATTAAATAGGCATGATTCCCCCCACCACCACCCCTAGTTTTCCTTTCTCGCATACCACCAGGGGCACCAGGGACAAGCTGGGGCCTGTGTTTGCCTGCTCACCCAGGGGACCTGCCTCTGACGTGGATTTGACCTCATGGAGGAGTGCAAAGAGGAAGAGGAGGGGTCTGCTTTCTGACGGCCCGTCTAAGTCGCTAATCACCCCTCTACGCCCACCCCACCCACAAGCTCACACTGCAGCCAAAGCGCAGGCACAGATTTTTCTCTCCCGCTTCTTGCTCTGCAGGCTCTGATTGAGGCCGGTCTCATGGGAAAGACCACTGACGGATGGAGAACATGAGAAAAAGCAGAAACAAACACAGCCAGGAAAGTAAAAGGAGGAAACATGTAAAAAGGACAGCCATGAGAACATCACATACTCTGCCCTGTAATTGTAAAAGTCTGAAATTGAACGTCTTACCACAGCATCCATGAACTCGATGCAGCGCTTCAGCTCCGGCCTCGTCTCACAGTACTGACGGAATAACAGACGACCAATCGGCTGCTTGTCACAGAGACTGGTAAAGTCCCACTCTGACAGGAAGATGGGGGAGCCAGAGAAAAAGCGGGGAGAGAAGACGACATGTAACACACCAGACTTGATACTTCATGGTACATCCAGTTACAAACTTGAGGGCTGAGAAGCCCTACGAGTGTGATGATTTTACGGATGCATAAGTGAAGGAAATTAGCCGCATGATTGTTACTTTTTCTTCTACTGATTCCCAGTGCATGCAGAAAAGTGATTAGGTTTTGCCAGTGACTGTGTGATTGTTTATCTGTAGAGTTGGAAAAATATCTTATCAGCTCCATTAAAGATGGCTGCCATAGCTAGGAGACCTCATTAAAATAACAAATAATAATTTTCCTTGCTGTCTCCTAAAGAGCAATGATTATTTTAGTGATTTTTTTTTAGACTTTTGAAGTTTTTCAAACTTTTTCCTTGAACGTTAGCAGCTTTTATTAACCATTTTCAGACCCACTTGACTACTTGAAAGCTTTTAATGCCATTTTATTTTGTTTTATGTTTATAATTATTAGAGATGCACGATATTATCGGCATGGTATTGGCTGATATTAGCGATAAAGTTAAATATCGGACATTCTATCAAAATAACTCACCGATATAAAAGGCGCTGTTATATATGGCTCAGTTTTTGTACGACAACCCAGTGACAAGGATGCCTGCAGCGCCAGCAGCACGTTAGGACATCACAAGCGCCGTTTAGATTTGTGAAAATTTACAAATTTGTACTCTTCGAGTGTTGTCATTGTGTTAGAGAGTAAATGTTATGAATAAATCTGACATTAAACATAATCCAAGTTAAAGCGTTACATCATTTTCAGCTCCCTTTTTGGCATCTGCATTTGGTAGCAGGCCAAGTTGACAAAGACCATGCAGAATAATGTAGTATTTTAATTCCACAGCAGAGAAAGCTATGTAGTCTCTGTAAGTAGGTCTATGGGAAAAAATATCGGCAATGGTATTGGTTATCGGCCAAATAAGTTTTAACATATTGACATATCAGCCAAAAATCCAATATCGTGCATCCCTAATAATTAACAATCCTAGCATTCAAAAGGCTCGTAAAGGAAAAAACCAGTGTTGTGTCTTTGCATAACAGGCAAATTAGCAAAAGAACCAATTTTAAGTTGTACATTTGGTCACTTAAAAATACAAAAAATAATTACCAGACTTTTTTTTTTCCCCCTCCACTAAAAAGACTGCTTCCAAAGCACCGCTAGACAAAAACATGGCATAGCTTACCCTACTCTGGATACTTAAAAAATGAGAAAACGAGTCAAATTGAGGACAACAGAACATGTCCCGGGCTTAAAGAATAAGCAAAAAAAAAAAAAAAAAAAGATTTTACAAAAAATCCACAAACAAGGCTTGTGAAGTGCATCATCCTTCATCTGATCGTCTACAGTAATTTTCAGGTAATAGCTCCTTAGAAAAAAAAATTGCTTGTGCTAAAATACAATTTTATGTTTGTCACACTGTTTTATCTTGGTTGAATTTGGAACTAGAAAATTTACAATAAATCTTAGTTTATCTTAGTAATAAAGTGGTGTCTTTGCGACAACACAATTCTTACAAAATGTCTAAAAGCTGAAATAGAAACTGTTTAAAGAAAAGGTCTAGGATGTGAACACAACACTGTTTCTGTCATTCGGTTTAGATGCCTTTTAGAGTAGGCCCAATATGCTTGCATGTGTTTTTATTCTATATTACTTTATAAATCTACACAAAACTTTACATTAATTATTGAAAGTTTAAAAATGTAATATATAATTTCTCCTAGTTTATATCTAGTACCATTTTGCTTAGCTAATCTCATTGATAAACATAACTATATTATATAGCTTTATAAAATGCCCTCCTAAAAGCAGTCTGTACCTTAAAAATAAATAAATTTGCTTTACATGCTAAACACAAAACAGCCCATCTTTCAGTACCCTGCTTTCGGTTAGTGTGTCAGCATGTTTTTCCTGTGCAGCTGGTCCTTTCTTATTAGCACTAATGACACTCATTTAACTCGTATTTCCTCTTTTCGCCAAATCAAGAAAGAAGAGCCAGGACACTTTTCACCCATGGCTGACCGTAAGGACAGAAGAACGCAAAAACAAACATACAAACAGACAGGTAACCACACTCATGCGCACGTGGGAAAAGAGGAGGAAGAGGAAGGATGCTGGAGATGAGTGGTGACACCTACTGCACGACCTCCAGTTAATCAAATCTTCACATCACGATGTGATTGTGAGATTGTGATTTGGTCGACATCAAGTTCAGCTTTGTGTTTTTATTAACACCCAGCTGACACGAAAATGGTTCTTTCAGTCAGGTATTTAGACATTGAGCAAAAATCTGGTGTGGTAGTAGCTGAGAGTCATTCACAACACATAGACCAAGCACTAACAAATAGCCTAGGAGCTTTGCTTAAAGTTTTGCCATTAACTATTAGAGACAAACTTGTTTGTTGGCAAAATGTCTCACTGACCAGTTAACAGATTTTAAATAAACTCTCAGAAAATAATTAATGGTCAAACAGCTACAGCTGATTAACGTTAGTTCACCAATTCAAGATGGCCACCGCAGCTAATCAAACCTAGCAAACACAAAAAATGGCTGGAATGTTAAATTTCTATTAAAGTGGTCGTCTTCACACCCTCTTTATACACCAGACAAACAACTTGTGTTTAATGATGGCTAATCAAACAGAAGGAAGCATTTATAGATGTGCAAAAGCTCCACATCAACCAGTCAATTCACTAAAAAGAATAAAAGAAATAAAAACTGGCTCATCTCAAACAGACACTGATTAAATCGCAAAAGTTTGAACTTGATCTCAAACAACCTGTGGAGCAAAGTACAGCTGACGCCACATATATAAACTATTTAAACCTTTGCTAGTTGAGTCTTATGAACAACAAACTGCAACATATATCTGCTAAATGAAGGAACAATAATGTCCTCAATTTGTTGTAGCAACAACTATGGGAATAAACAACATCTGTGCTTTTTTCTGTTGGACTTAGTCTATAATTGGGAACCACTCTTAATTTATTTTGTGCACTGATACATTTATATAAACCCATTTTCCTTTGGGGATGATTGAAGTTGTGCTCAGGTTATGTTGGTTTCCATGTTACGGGTGCAGGGAGAGCTGGGACTTTGCAACTGTCACACTCGGGGACACAAACATGGCTTCAATGGTTACGTTTTCACGTTTATCTCATTAAACAATCGTTTTATAAAACCGTGATAATTTTCCTTTAACAGTAGCATCTGCCAAATTGACCTACGGAAATTAAATACAATCAAGATGAACGAGACAAATTTAAAAAATAAAATACAGCCTGTCAAAATAAAATGAAATATATATTTTTTTTAAAGTACATAAATTAGCCGCTCCTGTGTATAAGCTGCGAAGTCCAGTGTGAGAAAAAAAGTAGCAGCTTATACACCGGCAATTACGGCATTTTACTTTTTTTATTTTTTTATTCTGCTTTATCTGTCACTTTGTCTGACTAGATTTTATATTTTTTAGATCTTGTGGTCAAGTGGTTTTAGGTACAACTGGTCTCCTGATGCCAACGTAATCCCCATATGTTCTTGCCAAATTACAATTACAACTAAATAAATCCACTCAAAATACTGCTAAATTTTCAGAAATACGTGTATTACTAAAGCAACATTTCTTAAGAGACAACTTCAACACAAGTCTAAATGTTCTGTTTTACATCTTGGCTCCCACTTTACAACAAAACCACCCTTAGAAAGTATATATGAAAAGTTAATAATCCAGTTATTAATTTACTTTATTAATAATTAATGAGGCATTGCAGTCCATTGGGCAAAAAGGCAGCAGCTAGCTGTTTATTGCTCACACTGATCTGCGTTTTCTTAATCAGACTGTTGCCTTACTGCATTAAATATAAATGTGAGAAATTTGTAAAATTACATAAGATAAGCAAAACTTGAAACAATTAAAATATACCTTTTAATCTTTCCAAATATATATGCATCAACAGGATCAGAAATCTTTTTTTCTCTTGATTAGCGAGTTCCAATATCAACTTCAGACTTAAAATTTTAATAAGAACCCAGATTTGCATTAACAAAAAAATCTTTATTGCATAAAAGACACTTCTCCCAGATCCAGATGAAGAGTAAGTGCCAGCAGCTTTGACAAGCGGTATGCCAATGTCCCCCATAACTGAGGGATTTTAACAGTGAATGTTTGTAGTTTTCAAAATAAGTGTTTTTCTTGAGGAATGCAAGTGAACATTAATGTTTTTGGGGCAAGATATTAAAGTATGTTGGAATTACACTGTGTATAGGAAGAGACATTATTCATTCATTTATTTATTTATTTTTTTATTGCTTGTCTGAGCCGGTGCAGTCACGGATCCTGGTGGGTGGAAGGAGCGATTTTATCGGCCACCAGGCACAGAGGCAGAATCAGGGGGTGACCAACGGTGGCCTTGGCCACCATAGAGTAATCTTCTTCCACCCCACCAGCCACCCCAATCATTTGAAGATGGTGGTGGCCATCTTGCATTTTGACGTGGCAATCCATTTTCCGACAATGACCTTTCTTACGCTTAGATGCAGCCACAAAATAAAATGAGCGTCAGCACGTTGTTTATTTTTGAAGTTATCAAGCTCACAAGATGAATGGACGCACGGAAGGAGGATATTTTCAAGTCCCCTCTTCACTCTGCAACGAGGGACAACAAAAAGTGGCAGTGCTAAAATGTATTAGCCGGATATGAAAAAAGAGGAAAAATGACTGACGGGATTGAAGGAGTGTGAGAAGGAGTAGGGACTGAAGCAGACAAAGTGGCTGCAGCCCACATAATGTAATCTGGGCTTCCAAGAACTACTACTCACTTGTCAAGGCTAAGGTCAAATGCCTGACATTATCAAGACACAACAAAGACACTGCTATCAGTTGCTATACTGTATGCTTCCGTGCACGTGTGCGTGCATGTGTGAGTACATGTACAGAGCAACATGTCTGAGTGTAACTACGCAAGGAGAAATGTTTTGATCCCTTACTCTGAATGATAGGGAAATGACTCAACAGCATGTATGCAATGATGACGTATGTAGATTTCAACAGCTGTGCATGCACACACACACACACACACACACACACACACACACACACACACACAC